GGCCCAGCACAGGAAGATGTGGAGGACTTTGCAGAGCCTGCGTTGAGGGCCCTACCCTGCCTGGGGAGTGGTGGGTGGATGGGGTGAGGGTAGGTTGGGGGTTGTGGAGGAGGGATTGGGGTGAGGGGAGGGAGAGGGAGAAGGGACTTACATGTGAAACAAGCTTGTTCCCTAACTAGAATAAATAAATTTAAAAAAAAAATTCAGGGGTCAATCTACTTCATAAATTTGAGTATAGAAGAAAAGGCTTTAAGACTGTAGAATTGCAAGTGAATTCAGAGCTTATCTTGAAAATTAGTTGTATAAAGGCCGTCTGAGTGGAGAAGAAAGACAAAGAAAAAAAGGTTTGCTTGAAATGTAATTTTGGCATTTCTGACATACAAATTTGAAGGTTTGAAAACTCTGTTCAACGTTTGAGGTGGGTTTGAAACAATTCTTTTTCCATTGGGAGAAAGCCCCTCTGTTGCAGAAGCTCCCCATAAACTCCTTTCCTTGGTTTGTTTAAAAGATGAGGGATTTGCATGGTTTCACTCATATAAGAATCTAGACAGTTGATCAAATGTAGAATGTGGTGTAATGCAAAAGTAGTGAGGGGGTAGGGATGGAGCAAAGGTGAGCACTAAGTTTTAATTAGACAGCAGCAAAAAGAGCTTTCATACTACTGATTATATATAACAATAATGAAGTACATATTGAACTCATCAAGAAGAATATTGAAAGCTTTCACCACACACAAATTATAAATGAGGCAATGGACACATCAAGAAGAATATTGAAAGCTTTCACCACACACAATTTATAAATGAGGTGATGGATATGTTCAACATGATTTTAACATTACACAGTGTATACATTATTGAAATACTACATGGCACTGATAAAATTTTACATAGTAGTGAATTTTTAAAGAAAGGATGATGGGGGCGTGGCTCAGTGGCTAACAACAGATATTGCTCTTGCAGAGAATCTGATTTTGGTTCCCAATATCCATGTGTGGTGGTTCACAAATGTCTGTAACCCCAGGTCTAGATCTGATACCTTATCCTGGCCTCTATGGGTACTGCATTCATATGCACACCTCTTACCACATACATTCATACAGATAATTAAAAATGTAAATCAAATCTCTAAAAAGGGGTAATGATTTTATTGGTAGAAATGGAAAACATTAGGGTCTCAAAAGAATCTTCAGAGATCATTTTTGGTTCAAATGTTTTACTGTGGATTTGTGGGATATTACCATTGAAGGAAACTGGGCAGTGGACATATAGGATCTCTCTGTATTCTCTTATAATTGTAAGTAAACTATAGTTATCTGAAGAGAAAAAGAAATTTTGGTTCCAAATGTGTCTTCAGATAGTATTATAATTCACACAGACACAAAATGATTATACCTTAGTCACTACTAGTCTACAGTCCCTATCTAGAAGAACTGTTAGGCCAATCTAATTACAAACAATTTTTAACTGGCTTTATTATAAAAATTCAAATTTAGGAAAAATTCAAATTTAGGAAGATTTTATACTGGAATTAAAGAGCCCCAAAGTATACACCTTTCAGTAAAATTTTATACAGCTAGAGTAGGCATTCTGACATTGTTTTCTGACAATGTGACTTACAAGTAGATTTTGATCTGTTTCATGTTATTTCTATGCTGTCCTGGATAGTTTTATGTCAACTTTACACAAACTAGTGTCATCCGAGAGGAGGGAGTCTCAACCAAGAAAATGTCTCAGTGAGATTAGGCAGTAGGCAAGCCTGTAGGGTATTTTATTAATTAATCATTGATGGGAGAGGGCCCAGCACATTGTGGGTGGTGCCATCCCTGGGCTGGTGGTCCTGGGTTCTATAAGAAAGCAGGCTGATCCAGCCACGGGGAGCAAATCAGTGAGAGGCACTCCTCCATAGCCTCTGCACCAGCTCCTGCTTCCAGGTTCCTGCCCTGTTAAAGTTCCTGTCCTGACTTCCTATGATGGTGAGCAATGCTATTGAAGTGTAACCTAAACCCTTTCCTTCCCAAGTTTCTCCGGTCATGGTGTTTCATCAAAGCAATAGTAACCCCAATTAAGGCATATACCAAGCTTTTTTGCCATCCTAATGGTAAATCTAATGTCATTTAAAGGGATTGCGAATGAAACTCAGAGTCCATCCTCACATATATTTCATTATACATTACATACCCCTTCAGTCAATCTATGCTTATTTATTGGGTACCTACCATGGGCCAGGTACACACTTTTCCATTACTATAAATGTTGTGTATTATTCAAATCATATGCCACAGTATCAATCCACCTTAGAACAAAGGAAAACATTTACTTATAATAAAGTGGAACCATCTGGCCATTGTGGTCTACCAGTCCCAAATGTTTGCTCTTCTTGCTACAATCCTAGATTAAGTCATCTCTTATGGAAGTTTAGGAGGAATAATGAGGCTGATATGGGGCTTCTAAAGAGCATAAAAGGAAGAAAAAGAAGGAAAACAAATGAAAGGTATCTACCAGCAAGCCCACTGGAGTGGTCTCCATGTTTATTTTGGAAGCCGAACAGCATAAGGTGACTGGGGCTGAAGTTTTGAATGACATCTAGCTGACAGCCACTTCTTACCAAAACAAAAAAAACTGGGTTGAGGAAAAGAGGAAACTCACAGCAAGGAAAACTAAGACTGCTACCATGTCTTGTTAAGATCTGTACAGAATTTCGCTCTAAATTAGACAGAGTGGAATGGAGAAAAAATTTCCCTGATTGTGAGAATTCAATCTCTCTTGTGAATTAAATGCTGTTTTTGTGAGGGGCCCGGTGTTGTTTTTCAGCTTGTCCACAATTCTACACTAATTCTGAAGCAGCAGTGCTCAGAAAGCAATACTGCCAAGTACTAATGCAAACTGAAACCATGTACTACCACTGCTGAAACTTTTGGTATGGTGTTGGCAAGATGGGTTGTGCAAGTCAGAACTAGCCTCTGTGACAGTGAATCCTAGCCTACCTAAGTGACATGGTGATGCTTGCATCTGTCATTCAATAGCAAAGTCTGTGAACTCTGTCATCATGCCATCTCTATTTATGAAAATA